TGTAAGCACTGCCCATGTTGATAAACTGCACCTGTGATTATTCTCCTGCCTTCACGAATGGTTACCAGTATTATCACCTTTTATTACTAATACACAAATAGGTGATGCTTGCTGAGATTAGCCTAAAGACATTCCCTGCATAATTAGTACTTATTTAGGAAATAATTATAATTCGCTCAAATCTTTGCTGGTTTTTATTTAGTTGATCAGTTCCTGAAGTTTAGAACTCAGTTGATTTAACAGTAGCAGAAGGTGCATCTTCATCTTTGCTCTTGCAAATTGAAAAATATGAGATCATATGAGATTAAAACTCCTCTTGGGGAAAAAAAAATTTAACCTTTGATGGACTTAAAATCAGAATCTGCAGCACTCAAGCCATGAGGGAAGATGAAAGCAAACAAGGATTGTACCAAGGAAATGCAGAAAACACAGGAGCTGAAAGGGACCATAAAATGAGATGATGAAAGCCAGTGCAGCCCATTAGTTAAACACTCTCTCATGGTGTCTTATTAAAAGGTAAACTGTAAAAATAAAATTTTAATATTATATTTTAAGGTCACATCAAAAAGCAAACAACACAACATAGAATGAAATTAAATGGATTAATAAACATTAATCATAATATGAAGAAGGATCTGTAGAATAAAGACAATTTCAGTAACTTTTACTAAATCCAAGATTTGAAGTTAAATTGATTTGCACTAGAAAGTATAATTAACTCATTAGATAAAATAGCAATTTTATTTACATTTTTTCAGTTATCAAAATTTATCAACAATTGAAAATATTTTTAAGTGAAATTCCTTTAGATTATTTGTAGAGAGAAAATTTCTTAGTCTATGATAATTTTCCCAGAATATGTATTGAGCCATTTTTTTTTTTTCCTGTCAAGAAAAGTAGCTAACTGTAGGAAGCATGCAACTCTACTTTCAGAGTAGACATTTGTCTTCTACACACAAGCACATACTCAAATGGCAAGACTTGATCACTCTTAAGAATGTAAACAAATTTTTCAGATGCTAAAACCAAACCTGGTGTCACATGCCTCTAATTGTAGAACTGTGGAGACAGAGGCGGAAAGACCATGAGTTCAAGGCTAGCCTGGGCTGTCCAAGGAATCCTATTTCAAAACACCAAAAAAACAAGGTTTTCTTGCTTTTCTGGAGTTGGTCAGAAATTTGAAGTTACTATCTTTGAGCTGTCAAGGCGTGGGCCGAGCCATGTTTTCTCCTGAGGCGCAATATTCTATTAAAATAATTATATACATTATGTTCTTAAGTAGCTAGGATCTTATCAATATGAGAATAATTTAACATTAAGAACTCTATTAACACCTCAATATCACCAATAAGGAAGTATGTTTAAGTTTGCATTTGTCCTAGCACATAAAAAGAAATAAAATAAACCCGAATAATCAGGGCTATATTTTTTTTTAATTCATAGAAGCTCATCATAAAATACTGTCTAAATTAATTTTTATTGTATTTCTGTGAGTTTCATACAATATATTTGGATCATCTCCATGCTCCTTAAAACCTCCCACTAATTTTCTTTTATATATATATATATGTATGTATACACACACAATATACTTAGTTATATATTTATATATAAAGGCCTATAGAGTCAGGTTTGTGTTCTTAAATCCAAACATCAATCGATGATCCAATAACCAGCTTCAAGACCAAATATCCACATCAGTGGCTAGCACATCATATGACATTGGTGCAGTAGTGGCACTTTTATTTTGGGGGTAATCAGCAGCTACCTAATTGGACTAAAAGCCCACTCAGTGGGAGGAAACTCGAGTGTGGTACTGTAAACACATGGCTGGAGTGGTCATAGATCTTAGAGAAAACCCCAAGACTGTCACATCCCTAGACTATTGTGATTTCTTACTGTGTGAAAAATATGTTTCCTTTTGTTTACAGACAAATATCCCACTCATCAATGAAGCTCATTTTGCACCAGTTGGAGACTATTACCAAGTACCCAACTGGTCACACACAGACATTGTCTCTGAATTGCCCAGGCCTACATGATGCATCTACAAATGCAACCTTTACACCAAAGTCTCATGGAACATAGAACACTAGAGGACACTAATGAATCTCGAAGTTCTCATTAATGAAGCTCCCTCGTGCAGTGGAGGGCCAGGAACACAAAAGGTCACAGATGGCCAAAGCATGGAGATCAAGAATCTCCTGAGTGCTGGTCCTTGGGCAGGCCTCCTTTATTAAACTTTGCCCACGCAAGGCTCAGGAACCATTGTGGAAGAGGGGGTGGAAAGACTGTAAGAGCCAGGGAGGAGGTGCAAGACCATATGGAAACCTATAAGCTCCTGGGAACCTGCTCATGTGATTCTATGGCAAGGAACTCTAGATAGGCTAACTAGACCTCAGTGGATGGACTTCCACTGGGGTATGTCTGGGGACACTGACTTGACATAGTGGGCCATAACAGGGATGACAGAGTATATGGGCTCCAGTGAGGGGGCCAGTCTATGGGGAGGAGTCTATGGGAGGGTGCTGGTGGGGATGGGGGTATAAAGATGATTAAGATTGTTTAAGATGTTCTGTATGAAATACACAAAAATTCAATAAAAACGAACAAAAAAATACAAAAAAAGAAGAAGAGAAGAAGAAAAGAGCTGGGCATGGTGGCATACCCCTTTAATCCCAGCATTAGAGGCAAGTGGATCTCTGTGAGGTCAAGGCCAGCCAGTCTACATAGTGAGTTTCAAGCTAGCTGGAGCTACAGGGCAACCTTGTCTCAAAAAAAAAAAAAAAAAAAAAAAAAAAAAGAAGAAAGCCTTACCTCAAGAAAGATAGAGGTGACAGAATACATAATATGTGAAATTTTGAGAATCTGAATAGATTTCCTCATTGTATATTGTATAAAAATCAACTATAAAAATTTTTTTGAAGAAAGAAATCAACTATAATTTGCCTTTTTTTTTAAAGTAGTTTTTTTTGGGGGGGGTTGTCTTTTTGAAGCAGTGTCTCCCTGTAGCCCCAGCTGTCCTGGAACTCACTATGTAGACCAGGCTGGCCTTGGACTCACAGAGATCGCCTGCCTTGCCTCCCAAGTGCTGGGACTACAGGCATGCGCCACCATGCCTGGCTTAAGTAGGTTTTTAAAAATTATTTTTTTTTTTTATTTTATGTGTATGAGTGTATTGCCTGCATGTAGGTACGTGCACCCGTGTCATGCAATGCCTGCAGAGGACAGAAGAGGCTGTGGGAGCCCCTGGAACTGGAGTTATGGACAGTTGTTAGCTGCCATGTGGGTGCTGGGATTCGAACCCGGGTCTTCTGCAAGAACAGCCAGTGTTCTTGCAGAGCTATCTCTGCAAGATAACTGCTGAGCTCTGTCTCCAGCCCCATGATATGCAATTTTTACATGAGTAAATTCTAAGCCTTTAGTGTTGAAATAGAGGCAAACAATAATGAAAATGGAAATGTGCATATACAAAGCAGTATTTTTTTGTTTGTTTGACAGGGTCTCCCTAATTACAGCGTGTCTGGAAGTAACTATGTGGACCAGGCTGGCCACAGATATCCACTTACCTCTGCTTCCTGAGGGATGGGATTAAAGGCTCATGTCATTTTTTCTTATTTATTTTTAATATTTTGTTTATTATTTTTATTTTATGTGTACGAGTGTAATGCCTGCATGTATGTGAGTACATCTGTGTTGTGCTATGCCATGGAGGTCAGGAGAGAGTGTCGGATTCCCCTTGAACTGGAGTTAAGGACAATTTTTGGCTGCCATGTGGATACTGGGAATTGAACCCAGGTCCTCTGCAAGAGCAGTCAGTGCTTTTAACTGCTGAGCCATCTCTCCAACCACCATTGGTCATTTTTTCACTCTCAACATTGAAAATTAGGATTTAATTTTTATGGCAACAATATATTTGACTATTAGACCGTATTTTATATCATTACTTTGAACCACTTAAAATTGGCATTTTGTACTTCAAAAACAGAATATCAGCAATTTGATACATGACTGACATATAGTTAATATATTTTAACTTAATATAGCTAAAATTTCTTAGACTATAATTTCAGTCTAAAATGAAAATCATTATTATACTTGCATAATATTTGCCCTTTCTTTCCAGTGTCTACTTTGTAAAACATGCTCAAAGTTGAATACAAGTATCCTGATAATCTGAGTTGGTAATAGTTCCTCTGACTTTTGTTTTTTCTTTAAAAAAATTATATCAAGGCTTTGAACATTTTCTTTTGTAATGTTTGCTGTCCTTGATCTAAATGTGCTTTGTCAGTCTTGTTACAGTCACGTAAATTACCTCTGTATATCAAAGGATGATGATGATAATAGCTAGCATTCATTGAGGGCTTATTATATGTCTTGTACTGGCCCAAGGCTTTTGGTAACTCCTTTAATCCTCATAATGGTCCTGCAGCATTGGTTTTACTGCCAGCCCCATTTTACAGACAATGAAATGAGAACAAAGAATGGCCAAGCCTCTTGCTCAAGGTCATGGGGCTAATGAGTACAGAGCAGGATAGTGACTTGAACATGAGACAAGATTTGAATCACCTTTATCTTTCTATTTGGTTACTTATTAGTCCCATTGCTAGTTGTCTACATTTTCATTTAAATAAATTTTCTGTGATTGATCTTATCTGTTGTTCTTTTTTAAGAAATTTTTATTTTTATTTATGTGTATGGCTGTGTTTTCTGTACCAATAAATGCCACATGCATGCAATGCCCATGGAGTCCAAGAAGAGGGCAGTGAATCACCTGGAACTGCTGCTGCAGACAGTTTTTACCTGCCATATGGGTGACAGGAACCAAACCCCAGTCCTCTGTAAGAGGAGCCAGTGCTCTTAATCACTGAGCTGTCTCTCCAGTACTGTTTTTCATTCTTTATGAGACTGATACACTGCCTACTGCGTTAAGGGGGCAGATCTTTTATGCATTCTCTGAATAAGCAAATGCTCTTCTATTTTGTCTGTTTGGTTTACAGGATGGACAGCCTGAAATTTTATACATGTTTTGGAATGCAGTTACTCAGGCACTTTCTTCTCAGTTTCATGCAGCAACAAACTGTAAGTTTATTGTTTATTATTTAATTCATTTCAAATGTTTTGGTTATTTTAAAATTTGATGTCAAAAGTTTTGCTATGTTGGTTTCTAGAGCAATTTTAATATTACTCCATGTGATTAGTTTTATAATTACTATTTAGAATAATCTCTGGAAGGAAAAAGTTATTTCTCCATAATTCAAGCATTGGAAAAGCTCTGTGGCATTACTATGATCACCTGAACAAACAGTCTAACTCTTATATTTAGTTTCTAAGAGTAGGCCCGTATTCAGAGGACACTCCTTCCTCTAGAACTGTGTCCTGATCCCTGCCCCACCCATAATCTTATTCAAAATAGCTTCTCCAGCTTTAATTGGGAAAGTACAAGCTTGGCTGTACTCTATTCTTAACAGACCATCCATCTTTTCCCTCTCTAGTTCTAGAATATCTCATTCATCCAAAGTCATGTGTCCTTCCTAATTTCCATTGTGTGTATTGAAGATGGGTGCAGTTTTTCAGAGCTTTGATATATTAATTCTCATGCATACCCACACTCATTCATTATCTTTTGTGGGTGGAGTACCAAGTTGAAGTTGCCTAAGAAATGAGATCAGGTGCAAGGTCACAAAACACAAGAGCATATGGTTTTGCTGGTGTTAATTAAAAATCATTAGTCCAGATTATGTCCATTAATAAATGTTGTTCCCACCGAGCTTGGAGTATTTCCTTTATAGAGAATGTATAGCAATTGATATTGGAAAATTTAGTTAATGCTTTACAGTTAATTCCTTACTAAATGATTTTTTGAAAATATTTTATTTATATTTTTTTTGTGTGTATGACTGTATTTATTGCCTGCATGTATGTAAGTGCACTGTGTCATGCAGTGTCCTTAGAGGTCTAGAACCAGAGTTAGCATTCCAATTGTTAGCTGCCATATGGGTCCTGGAAATCCAACCCACGCCCTCAGCAAGACCAGCCAGTGCTCTTAACTGCTGAGCCATCTCTCCAGCCCAACTGCTAAATGACTTTCTATCAAAGCTATAAAAATCGACTTAAGATACAAATCTACAAAGTTCCCAACAACCACATGGCTGCCTACAACCATCTTCAACTCCACTTCCAGAGAGTCTGATGCCCTTTTCTGGCCTCTGCAGGTACCAGGCACTGCGTGCACATGGTGCACTGACATACATTCAAGCAAAACACTCATATTTATAAAATAAAAATTAACAAAAATTTTAAAATATATATTAAGAAAAGAATATGGCTCACAAAACCTTTGGCTTGGTTTGGATTTTTTTGAGATAGAGCCTCAATATGTTTCTCAGGCTGACCTTCAACTGCAGCACAATAGTAGTAGAAAGAATGAAATATGCAAATAGGCTATATGTGTTTAACTACTGAATGTCAGAGCATCGAATGTGTCTACACTTTTTGAAAGGGCTTTAAGAGTTTTTGTATAATTAAATTTTATTCACAAGTTTTTACTAAATGGCGTACTGCATAGTGAACATTCTTTAGTCACTGGGAAGCCAGAGTTGAATGAATTACTCTACTTCCCTGTTTGTCTTCTGTTTCTAATGAAGTATGCAACAGAGTTAAGCAGGATTGATTTACTAATACATATCACTCCCACTTGTCTTGCAAGACATTGCTGTACATCTCTCCACATTTGGTTTCTTGTTTGGGTAAACTTTATTGAGCTATAATTTGTATAGAGTAAAAGTTAAGAATTTTTGTATAGGATTCTGAGTGCTGACAGATACTTACATTCATGTTGCCATCATCACAATTACGATGTGGAACACTCCATCACTCCCCATGTTTTCCTTGAATATTCAGTTTTACAGTTACTCTTCTACTTTTAAAACAAAACAAAATTCCATTTCCTCCCAATCAGTGAGAGCAGAACGATGACAGTGCGAGGTTTTCATGGTTATTTGGATGCTCTGTGGCATTTTACATAGAAAAGATACTCAAAAAGTAAAATCGTGTTTTGGAAAGCTTTATGCCAACACAGATTAAAATTTTCTGTTGTTGCTTATTAAACTATAATTCCCAATGTCGCTCTTTGTTGCATACTTTAAAGTCGTATGTTAATTCTAGTGTAACTTTATTAAAGTTGACATTTCTCTTATTTCTATAACAAAACTTCATGGAAAAGCCAATTTTTAAATGTTAATAACTTTCTGCCCTCACCTGTTCTGTCTTACCACTCGGCTGTCCCTACCTTGCTCTTCCTTATAACACCAACACCATGTTTCCTTTCTCTGAAGGACAATACTTTCTGAAATGAGAGGAAAATCAGTTTCTTATCCTTAAACATAATGAACTCTAAGGATTTTTTAATCCAAATTCAGATACATTTTAAAAACAAAAAAGTTCAATGTAGACTCTGATTTTTATCTCTCAGAAAATAACCACTATAATAGAATGTTCCATTTTTAACCATAGTACTGCATAAAATTTGTAGAACAGCTGTTTTCAGACATTGGCCATTATGTAGTGATCCATGATGAAAGGAAACAGTCTGAGCCCTGAAATCACTCCAGCTTTCTACCTAGCTGTTTCCAGACAACTCTACCCCAAAAACAAGAATCAATAGTTTGCCCTTTTTTTTTTTTTTTTTTTTTTTTTTTTTTTTTTTGGTCTTTTTGAGACAGAGTCTCCCTGTAGCCCCAGCTGTCCTGGAACTCACTATGTAGACCAGGCTGGCCTTGAACTCACAGAGATCCACCTGCCTCTGCCTCCTGAGTGCTGGGATTAAAGGCGTGTGCCACCATGTCCAGCTAGTTTGCCCTTTTCACTGAGTCCAAAACTAAACAAGCGCAGCAAAGTCTGCTATTTAGCCATGTAAAATCACACAGGCAAAGTCTAATCAAAATGTTACACCAGCTGGGAGTGGTAGTGCATGCCTTTAATCCCAGGGCTTGGGAGGCCTATACAAGCAGATTTCGGTGAGTTCAAGGCCAGCCTGGTCTACATAGTGAGTTCCAGGCCAGCTGGGGCTATAGGGAGACCCAGGAAAAGACAGAAAGGTATGACCAGTAGCCAGGGAAAACAGACAAAAATTAAAGAACCAACTGAATGAATGAAGCTGGAATTTAAAACACTTCTACAAGCATTCTAACTTCACCCAAGTATTTAAGGAACGTGCTAAAAGTAGTGAGTGGGCAAATCAGCAATATAAAGAAAAACATGTCTGAAATTATTTCACTAAATCGGAATACTAGCAAATTTGTCCCCAAGGGACAGGAATATTAAGGAATTTAAAGACATAAGCACCACCATTATTCAAAATAAAGGACTGAGGAAGTAAAACCAAGAATGCTTCGAATCTAAACACCTGTGGGACATAGCAACAGGCTAACATACATATACTTAAGTCTCAGAGCTGAGAGAGAAAAGGAGCAAAGCTCAAAGTAATTGTTGAAAACATATAACCATGTATTTTAGGAACGAAATGCTTGAGTTTCCCCCAGAATTAATATTTTGAAGCCAAATTCCCAGTTTGACTATTGCAACAGAGGGCTTGTGTGACATTCTGGGGAGGTATGAGGAAATGTCTTTTCACTCTGGATAGGGTATTGACAGAACAATGAAAGGATTTTATCCAGCTAGGTGAACCAGTGAGTTTATTTGAGTTACTTAGAGAAGCAGGATGACTCATGGTTAGTTCCATGGACCCAGAAGCTCCCTCCAGGACTTTTGGCAGCTGCACTCCTGAAAAAATCCCATGCCAGTCAATTGTTTACCTCCTGCATAGGTGATTGAAAGCTCTTTGAGGAGAGGGCCCTCTGGTGGGTTTCAGGAGCTTATGACCCTTCCCTTCATCTCTCCCTCCACAATGGAATGTTAATAAGGTATAGATCTTCACAACTGCCCTGTTTCAAGATGGTGATAGTCATATCTTGTGTGGAGGAACAGCTACACTACAGGACTATTATGGAAGAAATTAAGGTAAACCGAAGTCATAGGGCACAGCGCTGATCTCATGGAATTTACATCCTCATAAAAAGAGGCACCTAAAGCCAGACATGGTGGCACAAGCCTTTAATCCCAGCACTGGGGAGGCAGAGGCAGGCGG